CTGCTCCAGGAGCTTTCCATCTGATTCTGAGCTAACATGGCTTCAGGCTGCCGCTAGGAATTAGCAGACACAGAACACAGAATCCAGCCCTAGAGGCTTATAAAAGAGAGAAGGAGACACCGAAGGCTGAAATCACTTCCTAGCATTTCCTTTCATCCTTTCCTGTGGAGTCTGCTGCACTGAAACCACGCCCTTCCTGTGAGACCCCCAGAGCCCAGCACCGCTGAGGGCTCTTGATGTTAGCAGTTACTGAGCACAGCGCTGGATGTGGCACTGAACGTGTACATGGCAGTCCCTATCTGGCAGCTTACAGTCCAAAAAGGCACAGTTTAAGGTTAGAGCTACCAAGGCCTAGAATGAGAGAGGTGTTAAAGTAGCAATAGTTTACAGGAGAGAAACAAGTTTAGAGAAGTGGGCAAAGGGCTCAAAATTCCACAGTGGAGTAGATTCAGGGTTCCAGCTGGAATCCCTGTTGACTTCCAATCCAAAACTCTCGTAAGTATAATGTATGTAAAATCATATGTGGTATCTGTCTTTATACTTACATATGTATATGTATGCATGGGTGTGTAAAATTTTCATTTGTAGGAGGCTTCATTTCACTTGTATGTTCTAATTTGACTCTCACAATAACCCCATCAGACAGGCCAGGGAGGTGAGGTTTGGTCACACAGGCAAATGGTAGCAAATGGATTCATAGCTCCTCTGATTCCAGCTCCCTCTTCTTCCAGTTGTATGACATTGTTATTTGATCTTAGTGGGTATTATCAAATCCCTCTTCAGGACCCCTGTGGAATGACTAAATATTTGGCCAGTTCCTACCATGTGGTACACATGGTCTTCCTGACACTGGGCAGGCTCAGCTCCTAATCTCTTTGGTTCCAGAAGATCCAGAACTACCACAGTCACTGCTAAAGAGTCAGCCCCTCTGTCAGACATGACTTTCAGGCCATTATTAAATGGCGGTAGGAGAAGACTTCTGCTCAGTATGGTGGCATAGGTAAATATGGCTCGCCTCCTCACACAACCACATCAAAATTACAACAAAATTATAGAACAACTATCACTCAGAACCATCAGAAATTGAGTTGAATGGAAGTCTGATAACTATGCAATTAAAGAAACCACATACATCCAGACTGGTAGGAGGGGCAGAGATGCAGAATGGGCTGGTCCCACATCCACGTTATGGTGGGATTTGGGAGGGATATCTTGGGAGTGAAGAGTCCTAGCCTCACACCAGGCCCCCCAGTCCAGGGTTCTAGTGCCAGGAAGATAAGTTCCCATATCTTCTGGCTGCAAAAACAAGCAGAGAGAGTTGGTGGAAGAAACTCCTGGAGTCCCAAGCAGTTCCTTTTAAAGAACCTATACACAGACTTATCCAGACTCACTCCCTCTGAGCTTCAGCACCAGGGTAGCAGCTTGACAGGGACCAATGGCATACAGGGAGAAACTGAAGTATCTGGCATCACGGTGAATGCTGGGGGACAACTTTCTCCCAAACAGAAAGGCAGGCAAAGGCCATTGTCCTTTTTATGAACCCTCCCCTCACAAAGCCACAGTGCTGGTAGGTAGGTGCCATCTCCAAGACTCCATCAACATGGCTAACACTGTTGGCCCCAAACTGGAGATCTCTGGAAGCTCCATCCCACCCAACTTACAGTTGTTAACAGTGGCTTTTCTGTATGAATGGCTGGTCTCAGCTCATGCTTCCCAACTTCCTAAATCCTATCAAACAAGCAACAGTTGGCCTCAGTGAGCTCCCAGCCCCCATATGTCTTTCCACATGGCTCCAGGCCTGGCACTAGCAGCAGCTGGCCTAGATTCATAGTTTGGCTTTGCCTGGGAATCTCTAAGCCCAGCACAAGTAGCAGCCATCTCATATTGCTTTATAGCTCATGGAGGATGGCCCCAGGCAAAACACAAGTGGGGGTTGACCTCGGCTTCTACCACCTGGAAAAATCTAGGGCCTACTCACCCCATGGATAGTTGCAGATCATGATGAAGCACCAACACCCTGCCCCTGCACAGAGGAACCTCCACAGGGGTGGAGGTTGGTGGTCAGTGGTCACAGACAATCCTTGCAGCTGACTAGCCTGGGTAAATCCCTCCCATTGACCTGACAACAGCAAGCAAGGCTCAACTAAATGAGGAGGGTGTATTCAACCCAAACAAAGAGCACACCTCAAGTACCCAGCTTGGGTGGTAGGGGAGGCTGTGCCACTGAACCCTATGGGACACATACTATACTAGGTCATGCTACCAAGACAGGGAGTCAAAGCAGCTCTACCTAATACATAGAAACAAACACAGGAAGGCTGCCAAAGTGAGCAAACAAAGAAATATTACCAAAATGAAAGAACAGATCAAAACTCAGAAAAGAACTAAATGAAATGGAGATAAGCAATCTACCAGATGCAGAGTTCAAAACACTGGTTATAAGGATGCTTGAGGAACTTAGGGAGGACCTCAACAGCATAAAAAATCCAGTCATAAACAAAGGATATACTAATTGAAATAAACAACAATTTACAGGGAAACAATGGTAGAGTGGATGAAGCTGAGAATCAAATCAATGATTTGGAATATAAGAGAGCAAAAAACAATCAGAACAAGAAGAGGAAAAAAGAATTTTAAAAAATGAGGATAATGTAAGCAACCTCTGGGACAACTTTAAGAAGTCCAACATTCACCTCACAGGTGTGCCAGAAGAAGAGAAAGAGCAAGAAATTGAAAACTTTTTGAAAAAAATAATGAAAGAAAACTTCCCTAATTTGGTGAAGGAAATAGACATGTAAGTCCAAAAAGCACAGACAGTCCTAAACAAGTTGGACCCAAAGAGGACCACACCAAGACACATCATAATTAAAATGCCAAAGTTTAAGGATAAAGAGAGAATCTTAAAAGCAGCAAGAGAAAAGCAGCTAGTTAATTACATGGGAGTTCCCATAAGACTGTCAGGTGATTTTTCAAAGGAAACTTTGCAGGCTAGAAGGGATTGGCAAAAAATATTCAAAGTCATAAAAAGCAGGGACCTACATCCAAGATTGCTCTACCCAGCAAAGCTATCATTTAGAATTAAAGGGCAGATAAACAGCTTCCTAGACAAGAAAAAACTAGAGTTCATCATCACCAAACTATTATTATATGAAATGTTAAAGAGACTTATTTAAGCAAAAGGAGAAAATCAAAACTAAACAATAAAATGGCAACAAATACATATCTATCAACAATTGAATTGAAAAAACAAACTAAGCAAACAAGAACAGAGACAGAATCATGGATACAGCAAGCCTTTTGAAGGTTGCTACATGGGAGGGGAATGTGGGGAAATGGGTGAAGAGGTGAGGGGATTAAGAAATACAAATATGTAGTTACAGAATAGCCATGGGGATGGAAAGTACAGTGTAGGAAATGGAGTAATCAAAGAACTTATAACTATGACTCATGGACATGGGTGTGGGGATTGCCTGAGGGAATGGGGGGTACTTAGTGGAGGGGGGCAAAGGAGGAAAAATTAGGACATCTGTAATAGCATAATCAATAAAATGTAATTTAAAAAATAAAGAACTAGCAATGTAAAAAAATAAAAAATAAATGGCAGTGGGAGACTTAAATTCATGGCCCTCAGAAAATCAGACCAAATATGAGAATTTTAGAGCTGGAAGGGGTCTTAGCGAAAATATAGTAATCCTTGAATTTTGCAGATAAGGAAATAGAGTCCTAGGGATTAGGATTAAAGGATTTGCCCAGGTTTTATGATTCTTTAGTAAACCAGAACCAAGCTTCCTGCCTAGGATGAAGACCAGGAATTCAGCACACCAGTCATGAACTACTGGGAAGCTAAGAGAGAGGGAATAAAACACTCAAGAGAGTTCTGCTGATATAGGTAGGATTGAGAGGAAAGAAAAGTAGAAGCAATGTACATGTGGCCAGAAAACAGAGCCAGAATGTGAACCAGGACTGAAAGTACAGATCTAGGGTGGGCTAAAAAACTCCATAAGTGACTTCCCAGATTGTGTTTTGTTCCCATCGCACATACAGTTGGAAGCCAAATGCAAGCCACCAAGGTTGCAGTGCAACAGCGAATAATTAAAGCACAAATAGTTGTGGGCAGCTGTGGGAGTGCAAGCCACCTGCTCCAAGTTTACAGCTTTGTTAAACTTGGTAAACATTAAAAATGGAGTGGGAATGCTCCCAGTCTGTACAACCTCCCATACCCTTCCTGGGAGGCCTCTCTTGGGGAACTGAGGTGGCTTTGCCCTTGACCAGGCCCTTGTCACCCTGGCTTAGAACTGCTTTCTGTTGATAGAAGTCAGTGTTGTCAACAGTCTCTAGTAAAAACTGAGGGAGATAGGGAGTATCGCAAAATCATATATTTATCGAGTTTGAAGGGACCCAAAGTCCCCAGAATATAATTTCTCTCCTGTTGTTTGGAGGAGAAAATTGAGACCCAGACAGGTGATGTGCCCAAAGTGACGCGGTTAAGGGCAGAACTGCCTCTGATGTCTTGACTTCTGATCTTTTGTTCCGTGCGCCTTCCTTGAAGCCCCACGAGGTTTATAAATGGTGACAGATGGAGTTATTGCATTACGGAATGTTATAGCTGGAAGGGACATGGTTCTCCACTACCAGTTTTTAGGTTGGCACATGACTAATAGGTGCTACTGGCATTTGATGGGCAGGGGCCAAGGATGCTAAACAGCTTGAAATGGGATCATCCTGCATAATGAATTGTCTTGCCCAGATGCCCAGACTGACCTTGTTGACAAATATTTTGTCCACCGTTTTACATGACAGTTGAGGGATCCGAGCCTAGAGACAGGGAGATGACTGACCAGCATCCCAGGGGGAGTCAGTATTCCCCTGACTCCATCCCACTGAGCCCCTGAGTTAATCAGCTGCACCACTGGTGACTTCAACAAAAGGAGGACTCCAGCTCCCTCCCCACCCAACTTCTGCTGCCCTTGCACCTGAGCCACTTCCAGGTCAGCACTTACTTGGACTTCAGGCCCTCCTGTCCGTAGGGCTGCAGCAGATACTGGTGCACAAGCTTGTCCCTGAGAGTCCCAGCCAGTTTGATTTTCTTTCTTGATCTGTGCAGGTTGATGATGAAAAGTGTGATGGACCCGCGAACGTAGTTGTGGCTGATTCAGAGGGAGAGAGAAGGAAAAGATGGAAACAAGGTGGTCAGTTAGATGCTTCTAAATAATTTACAGATGGTAGGAAGCAGAACTGCTCCAGGAAAGGGCACTTATTTAATGGTTCTTGGCCGCCTTCAAAGACAGGAAGGCCTTGTTTTTGTGGTTTCCTGCAGAGAAGATGCTCACTTCTCACCACACTCCTTTTGTTCCTGTTTAAGTGTATTGGGATGGTTTGAGAAAACAGAATACCTTTTTCTGAGTATGGAAGCAAAACATGCTGACTGCTGAATTAAATGAATAAATAACATAGAAAAAAAACAAAAAGAAAAAAGAAAACTCCCATAACCCAAGTATGTTAAGATATAATAACATTTTCATAAACATCCTTCCAGTTTTCTTAGTTTATTAATTTGACAAATATTTACTGAGTATGTGACATATTTCAGTTTTTACATAATTGGGATCACACTGTTTACACAGTTTTTCAGTTCAAGAACATCTTAAACATGTTCCCATGTTATTATATGATATATGTTACTTATGAAAGAATGCTAAATTCTTCAATCATAAAAATGTAACATAATTTATTTCACTAGTACCTTACTTTTGGGGACTTACATTGTTTTCAATTGCCTGCCATTATAAATTATGTGATGAGGCACTTCATTGTACATAAACTTTTTGCACATCATGATTATTTCAAATGGATGGAGTCTTCATAGTTGAAAACATCAGGTCAGGGGAATGAACATTGTATGATTCCTCACCAGATCTGGTCCTCTCCCAGTGGTGCCCCTCCCTGTGGAACATTTTATGTCCCTGCTCTGTTGAAACCAACGAAATGTGGGTGGACATGCTAAAACCTCTGGCCAGGAGTTCTGAGAGCCAACCCCTGTTTTGCCCCTTTCCTCTCTGCAGGAAGACCAGCAATGCTCTTGACCGTGGGTGCGGGGCCCTGTTGACCCGTATCCTGGGATGGAGATGAGGTACAGCAGAGCTATGGCTGAGGTGTGACATACTAGCAGTGTGAATGAGGAATCCATTTTCTTATCGAAAGCCACGGACGTGTGGAGGCCTTTGTTATCAGAGCATAATTTCACCAATCCTGCTGATACACACATTTTGGTAATACCGTGATTAACTTTCCAGAAAATTTGTGCCAACTTGCTCTGATTGGCTATGTATAAGAATGCCCATTTCCTTATATTCTTAACAACACTGGCTATTAACCTTTCTCAACCTGAGAGGTGATAATAGGATTTCAATGTTGTATTAATTTGTATTTTAAAAAATTCATACTGAGTGCAGCATTTTTTTCATTTGCCAGTTGGCCATTTCTTCTTTTCTAAACTGACCATGTCCTTTGCCCATTTTCTATTGGTTTATAAAAACTATCTATTAGAGATAGTGAGCCTTTGTCTGCATGTATGTTACAAAATTTCCCCATTTTCTTTGACCAATTCATTTGTTTACGTTGTATTTGATGTATAAAAGTTAACATTTTTTTATTGTTGTTCAAGTATAGTTGCCTCAATTTTCACCCTATCTTGGTTCCCCACCCCCAAATGTAAAACTTTTATGTAGACAAATTTATTGATCTCTTTGATTTGTGCTTTAGCTGTTTTACCTACCCCTAAATTATAAAAATGTTTACCGCTTTGGGGTCCTTTTAAACCACTACAGGATGTTCAGAAGCCTGGGAGAACTATATGCCTACATGGCTTTTCAGCGTGTATCAACAAAACTATAATGATTTCCTTCTCTCTTGTAGGAAAAAAGATTTTGTTTCTAAGGGGTCCCTTAAGGCCCCATCTGGATGGGTTAATGAGAGGAAACAGAAAAAATGACCTGATCCAGCCTTCAAAGGAGGAGCTCGGAGAAACTCTACGTCAACTCTGCCCAGAGGAAAATATCATTCCTTGCAGAAACAGCCCCCTCAGCCTCTGGGTCACTCATCTTTGCTTCTAAAGGTGATAATTAAGAGCTGAGTGACCAAGGGCAGGTCAGTGTGATAACTTGGGTTGTTTATTTGTTTTTAATAATATAGTTTCCAGGACTAACCCCTGCATTTTTTGCTTCAATCCATTTTTGATTGGGGCCAGGATATCTGTAATTTAAAAAAAAATCTTCCTGGGATATTTGGCAGATGAATTGGGTTTGGGAGCCATTGGCTAGAGCAATCCACTAAGGTCATGAGAAGAATTACCACAGCATATCCCACCTGGCTGTGTCCTGATTTTTCTTGCATGTGTAGGGGGCACAGTGCTGTGTTCCAAGCTTCCTGTATGCCTACACGATATTCTGATAAATTATTAAATGACTCTTCCATCTGATCTCTCCTCTTTTGGTCCTTCTTCTCATCTCCTGAAACACATGAACTAGCTTTTGGAGCCAAATGAGTTAGGCCAGAAGATAATGCCAACTTATTTGCACAGGCTTATGTCACCAGAGCTCTGAAGAGAGATGCTGCTAACCTGTGTCAGCATTTACCATCATTAAAGGACACCAACCATATTCCATTGGTGGGCTTTAAGCTTAACTTAGCTGTGTGCAGAACTGAGGAAGACACCATTAACTGCTGCTTCTCTGGGCTCCAGAGTGTGAACGAAAGTAGGCATGCATGGGTACTGACTTTGCCGACTATGGTAATCCCTTCTGTTAACAATCATCAGACAACCTTCTCAAAGGCCAGCAGTGGAGGAGGAAAGAGAGCCTTGTGCATGCATTTATGAGTTTCTCTTCTGCAGAGTCGGGCATAATGAGGCCTCAGAGACTGGAGAGCAGAGGGTGGGAGGTGGGAAGTGGTAGGTGGGAGGGAGACCTGAAATCACAGCATGGCTCCAGGGAAAGCTGTCTTTTCAGGCTGCTTGGCAATGGCCTGATTTCCATTTACACGTAGTTCCCCTGAGGGAGACAAACCAGTGCTGAAAACCAGCCGGCCCAGAGATCGAGGTGCAGAGGCTCCCACTGAACTCCTGGAGCCTCCTCAGGTAGGAACTGGCTTGACAACAGCCTCTGCCAGACCTTCCCTGCTTGGCTGATGGGCAAGGGCATTAAGCAGATGTCTTCTGGCTTTGAAGACACATTTTTGGCTAGGGAGTACAGCACCAACCTGAAAGTACTGTGTTGAAAATCCAGATTCCTGAAGAATGTGTATTCTCTGCCCACAGAAAACTAATCTTGGAACAGTATCCGTTCCCTAAGAAAATGGGGTCTGATTGAAGGTGTGGCCTGCAGGCAATTAGTCCAGGTGGTTTTTGGTTTTCTTAATGAATGTCCCTTTTTGTCTGGTAGAACATCTGTCTTGCTCCATGTCTCACTCATGGTGACATTTTTACCACCAGCAGAGAATCCACGTATCTGGACTTCATCTTTCTGCTGCCTGACATCCTCTCTGTGTTGCCATGGGAGGAGGAGGAAGTGAGTCAGAGAAGGGAGGCTGGAATCAGAATATCTTGGACGTAAGAGGTGGGGAATGTCATATGGGGAGGCGCATCTTGACTTCCAGATAAAAAACAGTCACTGTTCTAGAAATGTCTCTACTGAAGCTGGGAGACTAGGAAAGGGAAGGGAGGGAGGATGATGCTTTGGAATCATGGTCGTTCTCAGGGAAAGTCAATATGCTTGAAAACTGGGTTGGTCCATTGTCTCCAAATCTAATTCAAAGTTTTTGGGTTCGGCATAAGTCAGGCCATGTTTTGCCAAACATTTTTTCCCCCTAATTTCAAAGCCCCTGTGTATTTTAAGGGAAATTTAATCCACATGTTTCTGATTCATTTACACTTAACTCATCAAAATATTGTTTTGTAAGAGCCATTTGATGTCCAAGAAGCCTCAGGAACCTTTTTTATGAGTCTTAAAAAAAACCTTCTTCTGAAAAACAGGAAGTCATGTTTTGCCAATAATAAATGAACTTGAACCCCAAAAGGCTCAGTTTGCTTCAATATCCACCAGGTTCCAATTGGTTCTAAACTTGGCTAAAGACCTCAGCGCCTCCCCAGAAACACACATTGTCTCAGCAGAATGGTTTAGAAAATGGTTTTTCCCAGTCAAAATGTATTTGTTCTCTGAACAAGAAGACCTAAGGTGAGAACTCCCAAGATGCCTGTGTCCTAATGTGTTAATTCCAGAACAGAAAGCGGAAGAGCACCTGCTGGTGTTGGTATGAGCATCTGACTTTTGTTCCTAAGTTTATCACAAAAGAGAACGCTCTCCAAGGTCAGAAATGACCCGCGATGCAAGAGACTGCCATGACAGACAGTGAGGTATTAAAGTAGAGGTTGCATAACCGTCAGGGAGAGTGTAAAAGGAATTGTTGTGTTGTATACGACACTGGGCCAAAGGATCTCTAAGGGTTCTTTTGAACTGTAAAACTGTTTGCATTATTAACGCATTGTATATGCATTATTTGCATATAAGGGTGATGCCATAGAACTGTGGAATTCAATATAACATAAGTACAAATTACTGGCAAGATGGTTGGCACATAGCAAGTGTTCAATACATGTTAGAGTGCAGGAGTTGTGTTAACAGACACTTTCTTTGGGTTGTTCTACGGTAAGTTTATACTTTCTCCCCAATCCTTGACCAAGGGTATATAAGATATTTTCAGAGTACTGGTCAAGACTGAACAGTGTGAAGCCAACATGCCCACTCTGGGACATTTCTGTGACCTGGGCCTCGTTGGCCACAAATAAATGAAGTGCATCAATAGTGTTTTCTATGACTGTTGTGGAGGATGAGGGGGTACAGACAGGGCATGTGGCTTCTTAAAGAGGTGGAGCACAGAGAGTTCTTTCCTTGCACCTACCTACCTGGGGTGCCTGACACCCACTGATGTGGAGGAGACCTGTAATCTCAGCTCATGCAGTGCATCCACTGAGGGTTTTCTTTTCTACAGGAACAAAAAGACCTTCACCACTCCAATTATTATCATTAGGATCATGTGTGGAATGGATTAGTAAAGTCCTTCCTTCCTTCCTTCCTTCCTTCCTTCCTTCCTTCCTTCCTTCCTTCCTTCCTTCCTTCCCTGATTCCTTTCTCCTTCCTTCTTTCCCTGATTCCTTTCTCCTTCCCTCCTTCCTCCCTCCCTCCCTCCCTCCCTTCTTTCAATGGGGAGGAGGAACAGCCCTGACCAAAGCACAGTGGCACCATTTCCCCAGAGAAGTTCTGGAGTGACTGACTCCCCACAGAGAGTAGAGGAGAGCTGGTGATGTGGAGAGAATTTTGACTCTAGATGACCTCGGTAACTTGTTGGAGGCCTCATGCTCATGAATGTAGAATTCTTAGCCACTCTACCATACCTTCTCCCTCTGGCTGATGTTGTGATATCAAAGTGGAAGGGAGCTAGAACTCTAAGTCAGAAGGAATGTCTTAATGCCTTATCTCTTCTTTCATTCATTTATTCATCAAATATTTGTTGAGAATGTCTTTAGGCTGGTCACTATACTAAACAACAAGAACAAAAACAAATGAGACACTGGCCCTGAGTTCACGGTATACCCAGAATATTAGTGACGACTTCTGTGGGAACATGAAAGAACGTCAGGATGAATGCTGGGAAGAGGCTAGGTGAGGGGTCCGTTGTGAAGACACTCAAGTCCTGCTAAGCGGAGCTGCTGACATTTTCCCCCGAGTCCTCAGACAGATAGTATAAAGGCCACAAACTGATGTGTTCCCAAAAGAGACAAGAGGTGCCAAGAATAATTTTTCCCTCTTGAAGCTGGGGGTCCACCTTTTGGGTGGTTACTGCAGGGTGGAGACAAGGAGTACAATGTTCCCTTGTGTGGTGATCAGATAACTCCAGGCCAAGGCCGTAGAGCAGTCACTCCCTGTCAGGTATTGGACTGAGCTTCCTGTTGAGCAAAAGGGACGTTGAAAACCCCTGGCCTCTGCCCAAACCAGCCTCCACTCATCCACAATAGGTACTTGTATCTAAAGACAAGACAACTGGCCCCTGGCCGCCTATGCTCAGAGTGATTCTTTGAAAAATCTTATCATGAGAAATTAATTGGCTTGGCTCCTCTCTCATCAAGGAAGGGGAAGGAGCGTCGGCTGTAACCTGACCACCGGGGGCCCTTTGTGCTATCTGCTGCCCATGATCAGCCCGCGATGGGCCTGCTGGAATGAAGGCCTGGCTGGAGACACTGCCCCCCACCCCCGTGCCTGCGTTTCTCTGCAATAAGAGAAAGAATTCTCTTTTCCAGTGCTGCCTACTCTGCTCCTTCAACAGGAAATGATGTAAGAAAGCCATTTATGGTCTGAGGGGCTTTGCTTTAGGATCAGTTTTAACTTTTTACCTTATGATCCTCATGTTTCAAAATATTTTCTCTGCCAAACTTTATTTACTGATAACTATTTTTCATGCTTGTTTTAAAGACAACTCTAATGACAAGTAGTGTTTCCGATCACAAGGAGATAACTGCATACCACCCAGCTGAGCTGTTGTGGGTCCAGCCCCCTAAAATGGATTTTGTTCAACTTCTTAGCCCTTAAAGTAGCTGAAAAGATTTCTGAAATACTGAAAACGGCTCCAAAGCTGCCATGACTCCCTTGGGCACACCTTCCTCCATCCTGGGGGCCCCTAGCTTGGGATGCACTGGGCTGGGGCTGTTTTCAGCTCTAGCTCTCCAGCATGTGTCAGAAACGTCAACTGACTTCCTCGACTTCTGCTGGTGGATCACAGGAACGGATTTTATAGCTCGCCTTGGTTTAGCCAGAGGTGTACAAAAAAGCCTTGGGCATTATATCAACTGGCACAGAGAAAAAGCTCAATAAAAATTTTTTTGGATGAAGAAGTAAATGAACAAATGGCATGTGTTTTTATGAACGTTTATGAATAAATCCTCTAAGTGTGAAGAAGGGTTTACTTGGAGAAAAATTATTTATCAGAGATAATTTGAAATCCACAAAGAGCAAGCAGAACGAGTGATTCCAGAGGCAGTTTTCAGTTAGTCCTCCCACACGGCATGGAATTCCAAGAGGGGCCCAAAGCCTGAAGCCCCTCAGGTGGCTTTCTGTGACATCTCTCTGAAGACTTACTTGTGGTGGTTTGTGCAGTGAGCATAAATCCTCAGTTTGTCCCGGATCACTCGGCCTGGCCGTGGCTTCCGCTGGAGCCCCGCCACGTGCACGGCCAGGACTTTGGGGCCAATCAAACGCTTGTACAGGAGAGAGAGCCAGTAGTCCTGGGGAGAACAGAGATGGAGAGTCAGGGGAAGACACATGTTCAGGGGTTCTGAGTACACGTGACATACACACAGGCTGGAAAGTCCTCCTTAGCAGGAGTAAATCCTGACCAATGCGACCGACCCTGTAAGCATGGTCACCCTGAGGGAGCGCTCACCCGGGTTGATAGTAAAGCCTGCATGACCTAAAGTGGCCTTTCAACTGGCCTAAATGGGGGAAACTAAGTGGAGGTGACTCAGAGCTGCATACAGACAAATGAAGCAAAGTTTCATTTGAAACAACAGTTTCACATGAAATAGCAAGTGGTTGGGGCCTTATATTTTCAATTTTATTTTCCTATGACTGTAGTTTTATTCTGGTTTATGGCTTCTGTTTCACTGTAGAATGGAAGACTTCCAACTTTAGAATTGCCACCAATATGAGAATCTAAACTGTCATTCTCCAAATATTGTCAGTGAAGACGACTAGTAAGGTGTGAGAGACAGAGCTTCTCCAGGTGGGAGACCAGAGTCTTTGATTCCAGGGTCAGAAGCAAAAACAGAAGAATGTTCACAAACCATGGTGCTAATTCTGGGTCATCCTCAAAAATTCTAAAATAAAAAGACTAATTGTAAACTAAAAAGAACATGATATGTTTAGCTGTCCCAGGGTTCATCTGGAACTGATAAATATTCGATTTGTAACCCACGCATGTATTTGGACTTACAAAAGCCTATTCATCAACACCTTAATTTGTATGATATTTGCTATTAGCGTATTTTGTTTTTGTATTTGATACAAACATAAACTTGCATTTGCACTGTGTAAGCACTTACGGCCTGTCGTGGGGCAATGGCTCAGTGTCTGTGACGCAGGGCTTCCTCCCACCACTTCAGTCCTGTCATTCAGGGAACCTGCTCTTCGGTGCCTGCCACTCAGAGTCTCCCAGACATCAGCCACATCTTCTCACCACCACCTTTCCAGGCAGAAGCCTCTTAATGATCTTTTTATCTTTTCTTGTGTAGCCATTTATAACATCCGCTGCTTAAAAATGTCTGCTTAAAAATGTCTGCAAGTTTTCACAGACTTTCAGAACAAAGTCTCACAGCCCCTTTGCACCAAAAATATTTTGGTGTATGAGATTAGCCTTATTTATTATTTATTTTGCCAGCAAAATAAATCCAAATTGGTCCTGAGTAGTGGGCTCTAAACCTTGCCAGACCATCTACCTGCATTAACTTTAAGCGGCCTTAGGATGACTATTAAATATAGTCCTTTTTCATTTAAGATGGCAAATATTTCATCATCGTCAGTCACACAGATACAAAATCTCATTGGTTCAATGTGCTCTCCTCTGATTACCAGTTCTGTGCTGTTGATTATTACTCTGTGATGTGTTTATCACAGTCACCCATGTTTCCAATGAGATGTCCACCCTGTACTCACCAATTGATAACAGACCTTTTAATGTTAGTAGTAAGAATCCTTTTGATTGTATGTGGGCAAATGTTCTGTCCCAGTGTGTAGTTTGCCTTTTATTATTTTTTGTGCTTTTTTGATATAAAGAATTTTAAAAACTTTTACAGGAAAATATGCTGATCTTTTTCTCTCAATTTCTTTTAGTCTTAGAAAGTCCTTCCTCAAACAAGGATCAGATAAATCTTAACTTATGTTTTTCTAGTTCTTATTATAATTTTAAAATTTAACCTTTTAGTTCATTGAAAAATGTTTTGGTGTATGAGAGTAGCCTTATTTATTATTTTCAGAATAATTTACTGATTGTTGTACCATCATATAGTGAATAATCTATTCCTAAGTCCATCCTCATTACATATTAAGTTCTATATACATGTAACTATGTAGAAATATAGATAGCATTGTATTATATAGAATTATTCTATGTTAATAATTATATCATATACACTGTATCATACATGATATATTTAATATATTGACTATACATATGTATTTATATATGCATTATATTATAATAAATATATAATATAAATCAAATATATGTAAATGTAGGAATATGTCATATATGTGATATTTTATGAACTATATATATCATGATACACTGGTAAGAAATGTTATATATAATTCTGCATCTGGATTTTCTATTCTCTTCCACTGAACTCTCCATTTCACTATCAGTTTCACATCATTTTAATGATTAAAAATTTACATGTTAATATCTACAGATTCAAGTGCATTCATTATCATTTTTTTCACTTTATTCAAACTTTCCTTAATTAGTCATATCCATTTACTTTCCCAAATAAACCCCCAAATTACTTTTCATACTGTTTGTTGTTCCAGAGAAGTTTGAGACTAGCAAGGGTTTTATTCTAGGTTTGGTTAGCCTGTTTATCTTCTATCTTTGTGTTCTTCCACGATGCTATGGGAGTCATGTTTTATCCTTGATAGTTGGACTCTTACCAGGAATGTGTCAACCAGGGTTTCTGCATTAATTTGCTGGTATTTGGGAATGCTTTGATAAGACAGACTAAGGCCTCTCTCCAGCCTGTGAGAGTGCTCTTTAAACACAGCCTCAACCGTGTTTCTTTCTGTGTGCTCCAGTCTCTGCTCCAGGAGGCTGCCAATCTCCATCCTCAATTCTGCACAAGTGTCATCTCTTTTCTCATTTTTTTAAATCTTTCTGCTTCCTCTCTGCAAGAAGAGGTCTCAAGTTTGTGCTGCACAATGCATATCTATTTTCTCTAGGATTTTTTCTGTCATTTATCACAGTTTTAGTTTGCTTACAGTCTCTTCTTGTGTCGTTTAGCTTACCTGATTGGCACTCATTTAATGTTTTTTCCATTTCATGTGTACTATGTATATTTTCCATATACAGGAGAACATACGTATCTTACATGGCAGTTCTGAAGCACAGAAAACCCATCATTCACCTTAAAAGCTACAATAGCCACACTCTCGCATCTAGTTACATGATTCTTCCTTTTCCCATTTTTGTGCTTTTCATTCCTGTTTCATATTTTAACTTTATCCTAAGCAATATATTATGCAATTTGTTAGCTTTTTATGCTAACATGCTTATAAAGTGGTATCATGCTGCACGTAATTTTCTCTTACTTTTTTTCACATTATGCTTATAGGATTCATCCAAGATGTTACTCCTACTTAAAGTTCATCCATTTTCAATGTTGTATACTCCATTGTGTGAACATACTACAATTTATTTATCCATTCTTCTGCTGATGGATATTTGGGTTGTGTCCAGATTTTTCCTATTATGAACAATGTGGCTTTCAACATTCTCGTTCCTGTTTCCTAAGACACAGATGAAGAAATCTGGAGAAGTATGACTGTAATTGTGATTGGAAACTAGCAGCAGCCTCAACACTTGTGTGCTTTGTAGAAACACCAATTTACAGGCTTTATCCCAGACCTATTGAGTCACAATCTCCAGAGGTGGGGCCTTCAGATTGCATGGCTGCCCAGGTAACTCTGCTGCTCATTAAAGTTAAAGAAGCACCATAGCAGCATTCTAGAGTGATAGCTAAGGGTGGAAGTGCTGTGTCCTACACAGGTGTGCAAATATTCAGCTTTACAGGATAATGCCAAATTGTTTTTCCAAAGTGACTTCAATTATTCCAACTTATACTTCCTTCAAGCAGTGTCTGTTTGACTTCCCTTTGATTCACATCCTTGCCAACACTTGTGATTTTCAGACTTTTTCATTTTTGCCAACCTAGTGGGCATATAATACTTAGCTTTTTTGTATTTTAGTAAATCCTTCCTCATGCCTAGTTCATAAAGATATTTTGCTTTTTCTTTTAAAACTTTTAATGTTTTTTCATGGTTATGGCTTTAATAGATCTAGAATCAATTTGTGGTATGGTGTGAGGTAAGTATCTAGTTTCATATTTTTCCTTATGAATAGTCAATTGTGCCAGCATCATTTATTCAATGGTCCCTCCTTTCTTTAGTGATCTACAAAAACCCTCTGTGTGGTACATCAGAGTTCCATATATTCACGGGTTTGTTTCTAGGCTCTTTGTTCTGTTCCATTTTTCTGTCCTGCACTAATGCTGCACAGTTTTAATTACTGTGGTTTTATACGTAACCTGAAATCCGGTAGAGCACATCCTCCTGCCTTGTTCTTCAATAATGGCTTTGCTAACCTTGGGCCTTTACTCAGTCAGATATTTCAGAATCAGATTATCAAGTATCTACACAAAATTTCCTGTGACTTTGGAACTTCATCGAATTTATAGACTAAATGAAGAGAATTTATATTTTTATGATATTGAATCTTATCAATAAATATGAAAAGAACAGAAAAAAAACCTCTTTATACTCAGGGATCTTTCTTCTCTCTTTCCTTCCCTCTCTCCTTCCTTCCTTTCTTTCCTTCTTTCCTTTGAAAGTGAAAGTTCATAATCATCTATATTTTTCTATTAAGAAAGTATCCTAGATCTTTTATAATAAAAGAAAAACTGGAGAGAGGAAGAAAATATGGAAAACTTTTCAACTCAGAGACTGAAATCAGAACACATTTTATTTTTAGAAGTTTTCTATTCACCATTTAGCAGCAAGCAAAGCAATAAAAAAAATCCAGTGTTAAGCCCCAAATTTGCTCTACTGGCAGATTCACTAATTTTCCATTTCTAGATAAAGCACTTTCAAAGTGCCTCTACATTCATTTTCTCCCTGCCTATCCTTTTGGTACTGTATGAAAACTATTTGTGATAGATGTCTTTGTTTTCACTTCCAAAAGTGTACATCAATGGACAAAAGCCTTCATTTCCCTGCTTCCATCCCACTGCACCTCCCAAAATTCAATGATAGTAAGCCCAGGTAAAGCGTGTTCTAGGCAATGGCTGTGTGTTGCTTGTATGGTGTGACTTTGGAATTTTTTTTGCTTTTTGTTTCTTAAAAAATATCTGTTCACATTTAGGTCATATATGTTGTTTAAGCACATATATATTTGTAATAAAATTGTGAGTATAGGTGTATAAGCAATAGGTTGATAAACACAACATTTGGGATAACAATT